AACCATAGTAATTGTTATATAACACCTACTGCTGAGAATGATGAAAATTGCCGAGAATCAAACGAACTATTTTCAATTTGATCAATTTTCTAGAACATTTACAATCGTTCTATAATCGAACCAATATGCAATAACAAATTCGAATTTAAAACAGTTCAAACATTTTTAAAATCAAAATACATAAAAATATTTATAACAATGTCTGAAATGGTAATAATTTAATACACCTAAGTACTCAATGAAGACTAAAACTTCTCCCGCCCGCGGGAGAAGTTTTAGTCTTCATCGAGTAAACTTCGAAACTTCGAGTTTTAGTCTAAGATTCGATGAAGACTAAAACTTCGAGTTTTAGTCTAAGATTCGATGAAGACTAAAACTTCGAGTTACTGACGATGGAGGCGGGAGGGTGAGTCTTTGATAACGTAACATTGCACCTGTTATTTATCTTTTCCCCAATCATCACTAAATTATTTGAAAATAATTCAAAACCAATTTGTCACATTTATGATAAAGTATGCACCATCATAATCACAAATGAGCATGACCTTCAAATAATTTCACTTTAATGCTACTGGCACAATTCATTAGCAGATTATTTTCCTTGAAGATAAAGAAACATCTGACATATTTGCTGTTTTACTGCATTTATTTAGTTATTCATATTCATGACAAAATATAAGTAAGATCAAAAATCCCACTTGTTGACAGATGGAATTAGTCATCATCTGGTTGAAGTTTATTGGAAAATTTCTATGTATGTGATGACTATACAACAAACGAGAAAGAAAGATAAGATAAAAAATATGGACTCAGAGAGAACAAATTAAAATGATAAAGATTGAAGTAGCCATCTACAGTTGCCAATGCTAATCTGCAATCTGAATGAATCTGAACAGTAGAATGAAATAATGAGCAAACAGAATATCCATCATTTCTTTGTTCATTTCATATTTTTATTCATTCTCATACTGTACTGTACAAAATTGCAAAACACTGTAGTATCATTAATTATGTTCAAGACAGGTTACAAAATTGCTCAATGATAAATACAAACACAAATCATATAAAACAGAACAATTAAGACCTAAATGCTAATTTTTGTCTGACAAATCATATAGCTGCAGCACAGAAATTACTGAAATGATTAGATGCAGTATCTTGTTGAGCAAATTCCTGAGTCAAGAAGCAACAATAAATGTTATGACAAGCCACTCAAAACAACCAAGGTGTAGTGAGCTCTGGCATTGTATGAATTCATGATAATACACACAATGTACTGATTAATAATTTGCTAATCATTAATCATGCTAATCAGCTCCTCAAGTGATTAATCATCAAATGATAATTTTCTAAACACTGGAGTAATCAATAAATGATCATTCCATTGAAAAAACATAATTACTTTTTAAATTTAAAATTATTAAATTAATATTTAAAAAAAATTAATGATGTTCAAAGAAACAGTAACTTTATTAATAAGAATAATTCAATAATTTTAGGTTGCAGTGAAGAAACATGAACATGTCGTTTTCTGGGTGCTAGCCTGTTCCTCTTTGGCTCATAAAGGCTCCCATAAATACTGAAAAGCCATTCACTGGCTATCAAGGCAGGTGAGATAGAAAAGTATTTCTGGAGGAATTTAACTCAGAAAACAAGCCAAAAATTAAAAGTAAGCATTTTTAATTTAAGAATTCCATGTAGCAGATGAACATAGTTGTTACATGCCTGTTCCATCAGTTTTAAGTCAATCACACAGTTCTCTTTAGCATGTTACATATCAATGAAAGCACGTCTGCTAGAATAGTGCTTCTCAGACTTTGTATCTTTACAGATCAGTTTTTTGTTCCAATCCCCTGAAGATCAGTATTTTTTGTGAAATTGGATGAAAATTATAAAATGTAGGAAACAAACAGAATTCAAATACTTTTTTAATTTTAATTTTTAGGCTGAATTAGTAAAAAAAAAAATACAACAACAAACTTTGGTACTAATAATTTTGAAAAAATAGGTTTGTAGTTTTTCAAGTACTTTTTCATGTATATTTTCAAGTACTGAGTGTTTAGTCAACACTTGGTATTAACTGTTTAAATCAGAAGTTTTCAATCTTTTTCATGTATCAACAACCCTTTAAAGAAAACTAAAATGAAGATTTATCTATAAAGTTTTATTTTTCACACGTGAACAGTTTCAAAGATTCTTTATTCTCCATCTTCAGATCAATGGTTTCTTGAAAGTCATACTATTCGAACATTTTTGAATCATGGGACTTATTATTACATTAGTTTAATTATTTTTTTAATCTTATTAATATCCTACATACAAAAGTAATATCTAAAAGCTACATTTCTTTGAATTATATTTAGGCTAGACCAGTGGTTCCCAACTTCTGTTCTGTAAAACTTCTGATAAAATTTGGAATTCTGCAATAAAATTAGTATTGAGCTTTAATTAATAGTTTAAAATATATGTCAAAACTTTATTTAAATAAGGTTTAAAAAATTATTAATATTCCGTAGGAAAAGGGAACATACCCTGGACTCTACATGCCTCACATTTGTGAAAAATAAAAGAATCATGTATTTGATTCTCAGTATTCAAAAACTAAAGTACAGAGTATTCATTCCTGTCAAAGAAACTGCTTCTCAGATCTTCAAATATTTGAGTGTTTCTTTAACCATTTGCAAAAAAAATTAAATTCATTAGATTCTCTGATTAGCTGAGTTTCCACTACATCCACTGACAAAATCATCTGTGAAAATTAATCCTTTACATTAATTAATTATTAATTACCAAAGTTTTAATTTAATTAATATTATTTCCTTTCCCAATATTAATCTATTTTCTTTTAAGTTAAATAAATTATTTTTGATTTGTTGTTTATTACAATCAGTAAAATTGTCAGGTTTCAGAACTTTTTACCAAGGTGAAAAAGAGTTCCACAATTAAAATAAATAGGAAACCACTGGGCTAGACTATAATCATTAAAATTAAGTAATCTGGATTAAAGTTAAGCTTCCATCTTACATTAATACTAATAATTATACTGATTTTAGAATTAAATTTAATATATTTTAATATTCTGGAAGAAAATATCAACCAGAACAGGAATCAAATTCACAATTGTTGCTTACCATGCAGAAGCATTATGTTATCAAGTTAACTGCATTTTCAGATATATTAATTGTTTATTTACTGTTTATTGAGAATTTACAATGGCAATGCCAAAAAAGGCAATAATTTCCACCTACAAATTAACAATAAAATAACAAAATCCAATTAAAAGAAGGCAACATAAAAAAGAATACATGCAGTTTTAAAACTAATTATGTCTACATAAAGGTGACTCTTGACATCAGCAGTGGATAGAAATGGTGATTTTTTGGACCATACAACCATACAGGTTAATCAATCTGCTAATGGAGTATCCTTGTCCCAGAGTTTGCTATGACACTCAACCAACTTAAGAATTACCCAAGCATGATATGTCCAGTAAATATTTGAATTTGGATATATATATATATATATATCTCTATCCAAATTTTTAGATAATTATTTATTTATTTACACATACAAGAAAAAATTTAGCTTTTAAATATTTAGTTAATAATATTTGAAATTAATTATTGTTTTATTCAGATAACTTGACACTTTTTTCCAAAAAGCTGTGACAAAAAAGTCAACATGTGCAGTTTATCTATATAAATAAAAATGTAAATGTTTGTTTGTTCAAAATCTTAAATCTCCATAAGTTCTTCACCGATTGTTTTGAAATTTTGACACAACATTGCATTCGAATACATGCGTGTTTTTATATTATACAGATGTCGAAATTCCCCGTGGGAGAGAGGGACAAAATTAAGGCTTACTGTGAATAGCTCAGCTTCTATTATAATATTTTAGATGCGTTTTTTTGCGTTTTAATAGAGTACGTCAAGAGAATATACACTAAGAACAGATTTTTCAAAATTCCCTCCCACAGGAAGTGTTATACATTTATAATAGATACATTTTGAGCCACAGCAACACATGGCCGGGTACAGCTAGTTTGAAATAAATTTGATGATGCAACCCAAGAAGTCCAGGGTGCTTTCAGTAACTAAGCATTTTGCTTACTTTGTTATTGATAAATTTCACTTATCAACTGCCTGATTTTGTTTAATATAATGATTGTCTATATAGTCAATAGTTACAAGAAATATTATTAAATGTTTTTGGGTGTCTAATTTTGTAAAAGTGAGGATAAGTAAACTAAATATTGACAGTAAATAATATGTACGTAACTTATACTATTTCTTTAGTTTAAGTTACTGGTCTCTGGTCTATTAGCAGTTTTCACCTTCAATTCAAATTAGTGTAAAAAAGTCTTAGTTTCATT